TCAGTCTTTTTTTTTATTTGGCTGTGCTGAGTCTTCACTGCTGCTCAGGCTGGGCTTTTCTCTTGTCGCAGCAAGCAGGGGCTGCTCTTTAGTTAAGACACGGGGGCTTAGTTGCCCCGCAGCATGTGGGATATTCCTGGAGCAGGGATTGAACCCGTGTCCCTTGCATTGCAAGGCAAATTCTTAACCACTGGGCCACCAGGGAAGCCCCAGTATTCAGCCTTAAAAAAGAAATTCTGGCACTTGCTACCGCAAGGGCGAACCTTGGGACCATTATGCTAAGTGAAATAGGCTCACCAGAAAAGAACAAGCACTGTAGGACTCCACTCGGATGAGGTCCTGAGTATCACGTTCATGGAGACAGACTGTATGAGGGTGGGTACCGGGGACTGGGAGGCCCGGAGTCAGTGTTCAATGGGGACAGAGCATCCGTTTTATAAGGTGGAGAGAGTTCTAGAGATGATGGTGGTGATTTGATGATGGCCCAACAATGTGGATAAAGATAGCACTACTGAACCGTCATGAACAGTTAAGATAGTAGACTTTATGCTAGTGTTGTTTAGTTGCTAACTCGTGTCCGACTCTTTGGCGACCCCATGGACTGTAGCCTGCCGGGCTCTGTCCATGGGATTCTCCAGGCAAGGATACTGGAGTGGGTTGCCGTTTCCTCCTCCAGGGGATCTTCCCGACCCAGGGATGGAAGCTGCATCTCCTGCACTGGCATGCAGATTCTTTATCCCTGAGCCACCATCGAAGCCTGCTTTATGCTACTGTATTTTACCACAATTAAAAGTTATTTAATTAATTGTAATAAAATAAATACAGTGGGGGTCATGATAATCAGGGCATAACATATCCCCTCGGCTCCCCCGTCACATGGTGGACCTCAGCTCTGGAAAGCAGCCCACCATGATGGGGAGGACCGGGGGTGACAGGCCCTCGCCCCTGCTCGTCAGGGGACGGCTCTATCTGCAGTGCGCTGCCCTGGTCTCCTGAACCATCCAGCGGGGCTCGGAGCCTGGCGCCCACGGCGCTGCATTGCCTTCCTTCTCGTCTCCTCCTCTCGCCGTCCTGCGGTCACCTCCCAGAGAAGCCGCTTTGGCCTGGACGCTCGTATCCATTTGTTTCTGGGGGACTGGATCACATGACTGTCAGTACCTGGACATACCTGTTAGGTTTGTTGGTTCTTTACTGAAGCATCACTGACTTACACTGTTGTGTTGGTTTCAGGTGCAGGACAGTGTAAGCTACAGACACACATAGTGTGTGTTACAGAGATGTCCTGTATGCTACAGTTACTACCAGGATAAATCTGGTTACCGCTGTCACCCACCACACAGAGCTTTAACTAGTTTCCCTATGTCTGCATTGCATCCTGGGGAACTGTTCATTTTGTAACTGAATGTCTGCACCTCTAAGCCCCTTCACCGACTGCACTCACTCATTCCCTCCCCCCTCCGGCCCCAAGTCCTCCATCCTGGCAACCACCTCTTTGTTCCTGTGTCTGTGAGCCTGTTTTCGTCTTGTTACGACAATATCTGTCTTTGTTTGACTTATTTCACTTCGCAACATACCCTCCAGATCCAGGCATGTTGTACAAAAAGCAAGATTTCATTCCTTGTTATGACTGAGCAGTATTCCATTGCATGTATGTGTGTATATATACATGGATACCACACCTTTTTAAAAGTTTTGTGTTTTTTTTAGTGTTTATTTCTGTGGCTGCATGGGGTCTTAGTTCAGCGTATGGGAACTTCGATCTTCATTTCGGCCTTCAGGATCTATTAGCGCAGCACGCAAACTCTTAACTTGGGGCATGCGGAAATCTAGTTCTCTGACCAGGGATTGAAACCCGGCCGCCTGTATTGGAAGCGCAGACTCTTGGCCACTGGACCACCAGGGAAGCCCCCTATTCTCTTAATTCTTCTTTTTCAGGCGAGACTTTCTTGACTGAGGCCACTGCTGTGGCGAGGGGAAGTGAGAACAACAAACCAGATTCCCGTGCTTGCTGGCTCCTCTTATTTCTTAAAGCGACAATTGTGATAGGGATCGGAGCTCTTTCAGAGCAGCCTGCCCAGTCCCAGGTTCCTGGAGGTGTGTCTCCCTCCCCTTCTGGGGGTTGTCCCTGTTTGGTGGGGGTGGGGGCAGGAAGAGGAGTGCAGGGTCCCATCCCCCATCTCCTGAAGCTTTAGTCTTAATTATTCACACCTCAAGGAGGATGGGCCTCCTCTTGGCTAAGCTCAGGGGCCCACACGAACCGGCTGGGGCTTCAGGCCAATTGCTCAGCTCCGCCCCACCCCTGCCGGGTGGCTTGGGGCCCCTCCTCCGGGCCTCCTGCCGGGAGCCCCCATCTGTCCCCTTCTCCTCTTGCTGCCCCAGGGGTCTCAGAGCCCCTCCCCCATCAGTCTTGCTGTCCCTGGAAGGAGGGAAACTGAGGCCAGAGGGTCCCCAGGGAGTCCGGAGGGGTGGGGGTCTCTTTGTAGCATCACCCACCTTACACTTCAGTGTGTTTTGGCCCCCTCCCCAATTCTGGCAGAAGCCGCTATGTCCCTGGAGGAAGAGGGACCCAGTTAGGTCTGGGGTGTCCTCCAACGAGGTCTCCCCGGAGATGAACAGGGGAAGAGCCTGAGCTTGGGGGTGCAGGGGGGCTGGGTTTGAAGTGTCCTGTGGAGATGCCCCTGGGAAGCTCTGAGGGACCCACCTAGGTCCTCCCCTTCCAGCAGGGCTGGAAGTCCCACCCCAAAAGGATGTGAATGGCCGTCTGTGAAAAAAAGTCCTGCTTTTTTTCTGGCCGGGCTGCATCTTGGGAACCACAGCTTCCCCCAGCTGCCCTGCCCGGCCTTGGGCAGTCCTGCCCCTGCCGGGGGAGGACTCAGGGAAGGGAAGAAAGCTTGCCTGTCCTTGCTTCTTCCTTCCTTACAAGTTCAACTGCGTGTTCTTCGTTTGGGCTCACAACCAACCCCAGTGGAGTAGCTGGGAGCCTGGGCTGCACCTGCCCAGACTCGCTGGGCACCCTCTAGGCCTCTGTTTCCCCATCTGAGCAATGGGAGGCTGGACTCCTGCTCGTCCTCCACGGCAGGCTTGGGGGGAACCCACCCTCAGAACTGTGGGGCCCTGCTGGCCCCCGACCCAGCTGGAGGTGGGAGGAGCTGCCAGTCAGGGTCTAGGAGAAGCCGGGGCAAGGAGTCCCCAAGGACAGAGGGCGGCAGCCTGTGAGTCAGGGCGGGCTGCTGGGCAAACCTCCGGCTCCTTGTCCCTGGGGGCTGGCCCGTGTGCCCGTGTGTGCATGTCGTGTCCACGTGCACCTGTGTTGTGTGCACTGGGCTCTTGTGCATGCCTGCACGTGTTCCTGTGTGCACACACCCACTCGTGTGCTCAGGCCTGTGTGCCTGTGTGTGCAGGGTCCTGCAGTCCGGGGCCTGTGAACTGGAAATCGCTGAGGCAAACATGCTTCTGGGTGGAGGAAGAACTGAATCCTTTGCCCAGGAATCTGACGTGGAGCCCCAGAGCCAGTTCTGATGGGGGTGCAGAGGCGGGGCAGGGTGGTGGAGGGGGGGTGGGTACACTTTGCAGTCAGCACATGGGGAGCCCCGGCACGCAGGAGTGAATCTGGAGGTCCCCACGGTGCTCCTGCGTGCCATCCTAGTGTCTGCCTCCTTCCCACAGCATCCTATTGCCTCCACGGGGCCTAGAGACAACGGCCTCACTCGGGCAGATCCACTCCTCCTCAGGACCCAGCCAGGACCCAGCCAGGGCCCAGCCACAACTCCTGACCTTTGCATGCGCGGTGGTTCTCTGGCCTGGCCGCTCTCCCCTTCCCAGGTACTGGGTTAGGTCCCCTTCCTCCCTAGGTGTGATCGCCTCGGCCACCTCGTTTGCAGAGAAGATGGGGGGGAGGGGAACAGCCCCTGGAACACGCGCAGCCGGTGCTCATTTTTGCAGAATGCGTGGAATTTATTATCAGCCCCTAGGCCTGGCTCAGAGGATGCGGGCAGAGGTCCCTGGAATCTCTCCAGGACAGATCATTCCGCTCCTGGGCAGCCCCCTCCCCAGGCACCGTGGGGAACACCTCCACCTCGCTCCACTGCCCAACTGGGGACCCCCGCTCCCAACGGTCTGTAAGAACTTGGCTCTGGAATCCTCATCTGCTCCTTCCACGTCACTGAGCCTTCTCTGGCTTCCAGCCTGGCTTGAACAGTGGTGGGGGTTGGTCGCCAGGACCCCGCTGGGAGCTCGCCATCCCTTTGTGGCCATCTGTCCTTGTCAATCTCGAGACTCCCGCCCCCAGGGACCACCAATCACAGCGCAGGCATCCCAGTTTCGTCATCGGCAGCCAATCAGCGCTTCCACTGACCGCTCAGGCCCCCTCTGCCCCCGCGAGACGGCCGCAGGCCCAAGTTCGTCGGACACCCGTGGGGCGCCCCATTCCACCCCCAGGGCTGCGCCTTGCTGCTCTCAGCCTCAGTCTGCCCCTCTGTAAGATGGGGACAGGCAATCTCTGGGTAACACGAAGGACTGCACAAGAGAGCCCGCACAGCGCCTGTCTCTCTGGAGGTCCCTGCAGGGCTGGCCACGTGGAGGTCTGCCAGGGACCAAGAAGGGCAGGGTGGACTCGGGACCCAGGTGACCCCTCGAAACCGGAAACTTCCTGGCCTTATCTGCCAGACAGAGAAGTGGCTCTGTCCCTCTGCAAGCTGGGCGCCGGATCCAGGCACCCACCCTGGACCGCAAGCCTAGTCCACCGGGCGGACTCCTCTCAGGGCAGATCCCCACCTCGGTGGGAGCCTGCGGTCTGGGGGTGGGGATGGACGCACAGGAGGCCTCTTCAGGATGGAAAGGGGGCAGCCCAGGCCTCCACACTCTTAATTAACGCACACCTGCCCAGGTGTGCCAGTTTGTGTGGGCTTGACCTCTAACCTCTAAAGTGCAGGAGTCGGTTCCCAGGCCCACCCCTCCCGTCTGCCTTCGTCCCAGCGCAGGGCACACACGCACACACAGTCTCAAGGCTGCAGACTTGCATTATTTTATTTTGCTCTTTCCAGTCTGAAGCTACTATCATGGGCGTTTAGAGTTATACAAATGACACTTACAAAAAATAAAAGACCAAGACACCCAGAGTGAGATGCGTGGTGGACACTAACCAGAAAGGAGGGGAGCCGGCAGGGGCAGGGCTTCCAGGGGGCTCCCGGCTGAGGGGTTGAGGGCCACGCCCAGCCTCATCCCGCGCCGAGACGGGAGTCTGGTCAGATGAGGAGCACCGACCACATGGGGCCCTGGCTGAGGCGGTGAGGGGCCCAGCACCACCAGGTGAGACCCGGGCCTGGGGTGGGCACTGGGGAGGGCAGGGCGGAGAAAGCCCCTGGAAGGTGGGGTTTGGATTCGGGGAGGCACCCCGCCTGCCCCACCACTAGTGGGAGGAGAAGGCGCAGAGGCCTCAGTCTCAAGATCCCCCTCAAGCCCACTCATGGCTACAACCAGGCTTGCCTGGGGCTCCTCTAGCAATAACATTCCATTAAAAAAAAAATACTGATTTGGTCATTTTCTGCTTCCAGTCAGGCCAGAGGGAAAGCCAAGAGAGACAGGGGCAGGGCCCCCAGATCCCAGCAGGGTGTGCAGCAGGGTGTGCAGGGGCAGGAGCCAGCCCTGACCTGTCCAGACACGAGGGGGCCGCCGACAGGCCTGGGGCGGGAGCGTGGCTCCCGGGCGCGGGGTGGGGGGAGGCTCAGGAGGGACAGGAGATTCCAGTTACGCACCCCGCCATTCCGGGGCGGCGGGGGCTCGGGAAGGCCTCCCAGCTCCCCCACTCCTCCTCGGCCTCTTTGGGGGAAATAAGGCTCAGAGTCGTCTGAGGTCAGGAGAGAGAAGTTCCAGCCTCGCCCAGGGTGCAGAAGAGAGGGCAGAGGGCCGGGACAGCCCACCGAGGGCCAGGTCGGAGCGCCGACCTGCCCGGGGGACGACCGGTGAGGGCACCGTTTGCTCTGGGTTTCCAGTTTGAAAGGCTAGGGGCTCGCCACCCGCAGCGGAGCCCCCCAGGAGAAGAGCGTTAGCCGGGGGCGGGGGCAGGGCAGGGAGGGGCGGCGGGGCGGGGGTCTAGTACTCCCACAGCGTGGCGGGGTCAATGGTGTCGGCGCAGGCCTTCAGGACCCCGGCGTGGTCCCCCTTCAGGTACTGCCCGCCCACCTTGATGGCCACCTTGTTGTAGTCACAGAACTCCAGGAAGAAGTCCACCGGGGTGTCACTGCTGCTGGTCACGGACGCGTCACTGCCCACCGTCCAGTACTTGCCCGTGGAGTCTGCAAGGGCGCCGGGGAGACCCCGTCAGGCCCTGCCTTGGGCTCTGACCTCCACCCTGCAATCACGGCTCCCAGAGCGGAGCTGGGGTCTGCTGTCCACCCACATGGATGGATGGAGCCCCTCCCGGCCGGCCGCCTCCCACCCACAGCTAAGTGTGTGCCAGCGCCCCTGCCGACCCTTCTGAGGACCCCGTCTCCCTCCCGAGCTCTGTCTGCCGCGGTCTCCCTCCTGTACCCTCTAGAGCAGAAGGGGTTCCCCCCAGCTTGAGCCCCTGCCGGCCACGTGGGGCCTGGAATGGCCCAAGCCATGTCAGAGCGTCAAGTGGGGCACAGAGGGGAGGAGGGTACCCTCTGTGCCCAACACTGGCCCTCCCTGCCCCCGGGAGCCCCGCTCAGCCCTGCCCACAGGGGAACCTGCCTTTGATGTTGTAGGCGCCGTCTCGGAACTCCAGCTGGAAGACGTCATAGTTGGAGCGGTTGGCGTCCAGGGTGCCCGTGACCTTGCGGCAGCCGATGAAGCCGTGCTCCCCGCGGAACACAATGATGGGCCGGTTGATCAGCTTCATGAGGAAGAGCTCCGAGTCCCCTGTCCCAGGAAGTGGGAAAAGCAGTGAGCCTCAGGGGGACTGGGGCGAGGGTGGGGGAGTGCAATGCCCAGGGTGTGGCTTAGAGAGGGACAGCAGGAGCCTGGGGTCACACAGCACGCCAGCCCTGGGGGAGGCGAGGTGGGGGCAGTTTGGGAGGATGCCCGGTACAGCGGGCTTCGTAAGTGACCATGGCATAGTGAGGACCACCCCCCCAGGGAACTGGGGCTTGAGGTGTGCCCAAGGCGGCTACCTGCCGTCTCCACGGAGGCCGCCAGCTGGCCATTCTTCTTGGCCGTCACGAACTTGCCATTGGACGCACGCAGAATAATCCTCCGATCGCGCCACTCAATGTCGAAGTAGCATCTGGCATCCCTGGGGCAAGGGGCGGGGGGACAGGGTCAGGAGAGGTCATCCCCCCAGGAAGGGCCAGCCCGGGCGAGCGCGGGCAGCGGGCACTCACTTGGTGGAGGCGGTGGACTGCACACCCCCGGTGGTTGTCAGCGTCCAGTACTTGCCCGAGTGGGTGCGAAAAGCGCATTTTTTGGTGTCGCGGTCGATCTCCAGTTGGAAGGTCTCTTGGTCGGTCTCTTCGTCCTGATTGGCCGACAGGTCCATACCTGCGGGGAGAGCCTCCAGCTAGGACCAGGGACCCCTGCAACCCCCAGTTCTGGCTAAACCTCAGCCCTGCCCTCACACCAGTACAGCGGGGGGCAGGGGAACTACTGAGAACCCACCACACGGCTCAGACCCCTCGGCCTCCATATCAGAGGAAGAACCCAGGATCCCGGGCAGGACCAGTCAAGGACCAAAGCCTGCCAGGTCCACTTACACGTCACTCTCTCTGATTTTACAGACGTCAAACTCGGCAGCAAACCAGATGCAAGAAGATACTGTGGAGCCAACGGGGAGAATCTGAACGTGGCCCGGGGTTAGAGGGGCAGGGTTAGTTACTGCTAATCATGCTGTCAGTATGTGAGAGGATGCCTTGCTGTTCATAGAGACACAGGCAAAGATTTCGAGATGAAACGCCCGGATGTCTGGGTTCTGCAGGAAGTACAACCAAAAACAATGAATGGAGGCCCAGGGAGCTGGTATGGCAGCCGCTGGATTGCTATGCGGTGGTTCATTGTTCCCTCCTGCTTCTGTGTATGTGTAAAAGTTCAAAGAGCAACTGCACGTGTTCCTTTCAGGAAATCTAGAAAACTCCTAAAAGCAAAGTCACACACCACCCCCCCACGCCCACCGCACCCCCGGAGAGCCTCTGTGAATGCTGGGTGACCACAGCCTCCTAACCACTTCCCCTGTGTTCACACACGCATTTTCTTGACCTTAAAGTGCACGCGGGTGGCAGATCGCGATTTGCACATGACCTGCCTAACACCTTCACACGTGTCCACATCCTGAAATCGTCTGCAAAAGCGGTGGCTTCCGGGGTTTTGTTCCCACAAGCTGCAGCCCCATCGCTTTTGCACACCCGTGTGGACTCCAGCTAAAACCTGAAATGCAACCTTTGGTCACAACCACAAGTTCACGCCCCCAAGCACCGTGGGTCTAAGAGCCTCAGTGTTGGGTGAGGTGGGCCTCCAGGCCTTTAAGAAGCCGGGGCCGGTGGCAGGCGCCCCTTCAGATGAGATGAGGCTGGCGAGTGCCAAGGCCTGGGGGCTGAGTGCCCCACCCCCGCCCAGGACCCCTTCTTGGCTCTGCGGGCACCACCCAGAGGGCCTGACAGGTGTCAGACCCACACCAACCAGGGCCTGTGTCCACGTCAGCGGCACCCTGCCTCACAAGAGAGAGGGAGACAGAGAAATAGGGCCCACGCCCAAGGTCACCCAGGGAGAAAGCTAGGGGTCCCCGGGCTCTCGGGAGAAGGGGACAAACGCAGGCCTCGTGCCAAGCCCTGTCCCCCAACCCTCCCTCCCCTCTCTGGACTGGTGGCCGCGGCCTCCTCAGGTCACCCTGAACCCTCACCACTGCTGGGCTCGACCCCCAGCCCCCCGGGGTCCCCTGAGTCCCAGTGCCAGGGATCAGCTGTCTACTCAGGCCCCGGGGTGGAGGTGAGTGCCATCCACCACGACACCCCCCGCAGAGCACCAGGTGAGGAGCAGCAAGGGCTGGGCCTGCTGGGGCGCCCAGTCCGCAAGAGCCGGGCCGTCCCGGGGCCACGCCCAGCACGTGGGGCGGGGGTCCCTCCTGGCTCAGACCCATCCAGCCAGCCTGCCCCACCCCACCTGCCGGGCCATGGGGCACCACGTGCCCCACGCATGGGAGGCCGGCTGATGGCAAGGGAAGGACAGGAGGGCAGGGGAGGGCTGTGAATGGCGGTCAGCACCCCCGCGCTTGCCAGCCTACTCGCTGGTACATGGCCCTGCAGATTCACAAGGCGCACACCAGGCTCAGGCCAGACACGCCAGGGGACCCTTCTCCAGGAGACTTCGGGTCCCGGGCGCTCAGCCAGCCCTGCGCCCCTGCTCCTCCCAGCGACTCCCCTCCCACCAGGGGGACAAAGCAGGACTCTGCAGCGGTGGGTCCCTGCCCCTGGCCACACGATGACCACCGCCGTCTGCTCAGCCACTCAGACCCCATCCAGCCTGGCTGCATCAACAGGCCTAGGCCGGTGAGCAAGGTACTCAAACTGGGGGCCAGGCGCCTTCACCGCACCCCCCCAGCCTCAGTTTCCCTCTCTGTCAGCCAGGCTCGGTGTCTCTCGGTTCTGCCAGGAGATCGAAAGCATGGAGGAGCCCGACACCAAGTAGACACCGGGTCTTCTGCCCCCCACAGGAGGAGCTGGGGGGAGTGTCCACTCCATCCAGGGGGGCCCCTCCTGGCTCCAAGGCCCTGCCCCAACGGGAAAGGCCCCATTCGGCCTTGGGAGTCTCTAATTAGAGCTGGGTTACTATGGGAACAGGGTTTTCTTTGGGATTTTTCTTTTCATCAACAGCAGCACAGAAAGCGTGAGTCACAGGCCCACTGGAGCCCCGGGAAGTAAGGAGAGAGGTGCGGGGGCTCAGCAGAGCCCACGGGCATGTCCCCCCGGAGACGCCGGGCCCTGCCCCCGTCCATCACGGCTTTCCCTGTCTCCAGCCCCAGGGCCGTCCAGCACAGCCCTGCCTGCACCACACCCCATGGTCTGATGAGACCCCCAGCCTTAGCAGTCCCCAAATCCCCTGGCTGGTCAAAAATCGGGCGCTCTCCACCACCCATTCAGTTTAAGGGAGGGAGTCCAGAAACTTCTGTGGCCTCACCTCACTTCTCCTTGCTGTCAACTCTTGCCACTACCTGACCACCTTAAATTCCTACTCCATCTTTACACGAGCTTCCTCATTCTTGAGGAGTGGCCTCATCCTTCCCTGAGGCCAACATGACCTGCCTCATCAAGAGAACTCTTACACATCCTACAAAGCCCGGCCCGTCCGGCCCTTCCTCAGCCAGTCTCACCTTCCAGCCGCTGGGGCTGGGCACTTCCTGAGCACAGAGACCCCGGGCCACAGCTGGCCCGAGGCAAAGGGGCTGTGAGGTCAGGTGGGAACTGTGCTGAGGCTCCGCCCAGGGTCCTGCCGGAGCCCAGGGCAGTGTGTGTAGGTGTTAGTCGCTGAGTCATATCCAACTCTTTGCAACCCCCCATGGACTGAAGCCCGCCAGGCTCCTCTGTCCATGGGATTCTCCAGGCAAGAACACTGGAGTGGGTTGCCATGCCCTCCTCCAGGGGATCTTCCTGACCCAGGGATCAAACCCGGGTCTCCCACACTGCAGGCAGATATCTTACCATCTGAACCACCAGGGAAGCGGAGCCCAGGACAGGTAGGGGCCAAAGGAGCTTGAATACAGCTCACTCAGCAACCCCGCCTGTGTGGTCATGGTGACCCCACTTCCCAGGACCTGGGGTGGACGTGGGCCATCTGCCTTGTCACAGCAGCTCTCAGGACCCTACGCCCTGGTGGCCAACACTGCCTCTAACGGTAGCTGCGATGACCTCCTCCCAGAAACACGGTCTGGCCACAAAGAACGTACCCAGGTGGAGCACTTTACAGATGGGGGTACTGAGAGCAGCCTGCAGCTTCAGCAGGAAGCACCCCACCCGCACGGCCCCGGCTGCTGGGATGACTCACGTCCCCGCCGGCAAAACCCAGGAGGCTCCTCCTTCCCAACGAGTCTGGAGGAGCCGCCCCCGCCTCCCTGCCACGCAGGCCTGTCCAAAATGGCCTCTGTAGGCACGCCCCCCAGCCCCGCGCGGCGCGGCCCCGTCACCCTCCATCCCGCCAGGGACACCCGACGTCAGAGTGGACCCCAAAACCTGAGGCCAAGGGAGCCCCAATCTTGGCCCCCAAAGCTCCCTCCCCTTTAAACGCACAGATGAGCCCGCAGCTCTCCTGCTGCAATTTCCGGCGGCTCCTCCTGCCCCATCAGACTGAATCACACCATGACACCCCCAGCGAGCCTTACTCAAAGGAGAGGGTGTCTGTCCAGGCTCGCCGCCTGGAACCTGCCGAAAATACCCCACGCTCTCTCTGCCCCTTCCTGGCCCCAGGGGGCTCCTGCCACATCTTTCACAGGGAAGGGGTGGGACACAGCCGGCAAGCACGGAGCATCCTTCATTGCTGAGCACCCACTCCGGGTCCTGCAGCCCTGCTGGCTGATCCAGTCCCGTGGACCAACCTCACAAACTGCTTCTCGGCCAGCACTGGGCTTTCTGCTCCTCTCTGCCTCAGGGCCTTTGCACAAGCTGTGCTCTGTGTCCGCAACACTGTCCCACACACCTGATACATCCCACCTTCTGTTCATCCTCAGGTCAGGTCAAATGTCCTCCCTAGAAAGGGACCTCTCCCATCTAATCTGGGGCCCTCATGGACCTCCTGGAGTCCCAGACACCTCTGTTGCCCAAGATGTGGCTCACGTCCCAATGAGGACACAGCGCTCAGCAGGGAAGGCTCCGGGACGTGCCCACTAGCTCACCACTCAGGCCTCAGCATGCCTCACTCACTAGGGGTTCAGTGTTTGCAGAGTAGGTGAGGAGTCCTGCCCCACCTAGTGCTGCGTGAGACTGGAGGGGGGAGGTCCTATGGTCCCCAGGGGTTGGGAGGTGTCAGGGGGTCCAGATGAGGACCCTTTCTGGACTCAAACCCAGTTCTGCCTGCTGCATGCTTGCTGTGTGACCTTGGGCAGAGGGCTTCTCCTCTCTGGGCCTAAACCCGCTCATCTGCAGGATGGAAGAAGCTTGGCCCACTTCAGTCCTCAGCCTGCAACCTCGGGCAGGAGCCGCCACTGGGCTGCTACCTTCTGGGCAGAGTACCGTCTGGAGGGTGGTCATCAGGAGGAAGAGGGGCCATTGCCTGGGGTTCCCACACAGCCATCTATCTCCAGAGGCCGGGGTCCGCCTTCCTGTCTGGGGGGAGCAAGACACCCAGAGGTTCCCCCCGGGGAGAAGGAACAGACTGCCTTCTGGGTCAAAGGAGGGGCCAGGGCGCCAGAAGGAAGAGAAGCCGCCTGGGGGGGAATCTGAGCCCGGAAAGTGGGGGCTCATTCTGGCGGGCAGGCCGGTAGGAAATGGCCAGGCCGGCGGGAGGCCCCAGGAAAGGACGCGTCGAGTTGCAGCCAGCTGTTCCAGGAGGGAGTCTTAGGGGGTGGGTTTACTCAAGGCGGGGCGGAGCGGGGGGTGGGGG